CTTCAAAGATGTAATGCATTTGATTTCTGCAAAATTCATAATTTTTTTATATATTCATCAATTTGGGGACATTTGGGTTCTTTCCACTTTTTACCTTTTATAAAAAATAGATGGATTGAACATTCACATACAAAATTTGTGTGACCGTATGTTCTCAGTTTTTTTGGTCATATGCCTAGGAACTGCGATTCCAAGATCATATGATGATTCTGAGGGGTACTTCAGTGGATTAAGCTGGGCTTCTAATCATAAGGTTGGTGGTTTAAATCCAACAATAGCTCCAAGGGAGAAAGATAATGTAGTATGATTACTTCCATAAAACCTTATACCTCACTTCACCGAAGACATTGAAATGGCTAACAAGCTCATGAAGAAATATACAAAATCCCTAGCTCTAAGAGAGATGAAGATTAAAACAACTATGAGATATCATCTCACCCCAGTCAGAATTGCAAAATTTAACAGAACAGCAAGCAACAAATGCTGGTACAGTTGTGGAGAAACTGGAACCCTTATTCACTATTGGTGGGAGTGTAAAATGGTGCAACCACTGTGGAAGGCGGTATGGCGCTTTCTCAAAAAGTTGCAAATACTTTCTACGAAGATGGCGCCGAAAGCGAGGAAGGAAGCCCCTGCCCCTCCCAAAACTGAAGCCAATGCAAAGGCATTGAAGGCCAAGAAGGCAGTCCTGAAGGGCGTCCACAGCCAAAAAAAAAAGAAGATCCGCACGTCACCCACGTTCCGGCGGCCTAAGACGCTGAGACTCCGACGGCAGCCCAAATACCCCCGGAAGAGCGCTCCCAGGAGAAACAAGCTTGACCACTATGCCATCATCAAATTTCCCCTGACCACTGAGTCAGCTATGAAGAAGATAGAAGATAACAACACACTTGTGTTCATTGTGGATGTCAAGGCCAATAAGCACCAAATTAAACAAGCTAAAAAAAATAAAAAAAAAAAATTAAACAAGCTGTAAAGAAGCTCTATGACATTGATGTGGCTAAGGTCAACACTTTGATTAGGCCTGATGGAGAGAAGAAGGCCTATGTTCGACTTGCTCCTGATTATGATGCTTTAGATGTTGCCAACAAAATTGTGATCATCTAAACTGAGTCCAGCGGGCTACTTCGAAATATAATAAATTTTTCTCACAAAAAAAAGTTGCAAATAGAGATACCATTTGACCCAGCAATTCCACTACTGGGAATATATCCCAAAGAGACCATAACTGACATCCAGGTAGATGTATGCACACCCATGTTTATTGCAGCTTTGTTCACAATAGCAAGGAGCTAGAAACAATCTAAGTGCCCATCAACAAATGAATGGATAGAGAAGCTGTGGTATATTCACACAATGGAATACTACGCTGCATTGAAAACAAGGAACTCATGCAATATTATTCAAAATGGTTGACTCTGGAGGCCATTATGCTGAGTGAAGCATCTCAGTCACAAAAAGACAAATACTGCATGGTACCACTGTTGTGAAACAGGGCTGACCTCAGGCTTGGAAGGAGACTGAGAAGGATGGGTTCAATAATGTATTGAAACAATGATGTATGAAACATTGAAACAGATGAGGGAGAAAACTGTTTCAGAGGGAAAATTATTAGAGATTTTTGCCATGACTGGAGTCCAGAGCAAAGGCTGTATAGTGGAGTGGACCTGGGGGGAGGGATTGTAAAACAATGAAAGAATTTTTCTTTTACTTTTCCGAGAGGGTAGTGTACTAGAGGGGAGGGTTGGGAGGGGAGAAAAGTGCAACAATAAATGAATGGAAATCCAAAGTCTCTGTAAATTTTCATTGAAATTAATGTTAAATTTAAAAAAAAAAAACCACTAAACAAACCCTTATACCTCTGGAAACTCTATAAAGCAGTTCTATTCTGTCCTGTAGGATTGCTATGAGTTGCGACCAATTAGAAGACAGTCGGATTGGTTTGCAACTTATGAGGAACTGTTCAACTATTTTTCACAGCAGCTTCACAATTTTACATTCCTTCCAGGATTATTGTATGAGAGTCCCAAGTTCTCAATATCCTTGCCTACACTTGTTATTCATATCTCTCTCTCTCTCTCCCTTCCCTCCCTCTCTCCCTCTCTCTCCACATACAACTGGTGGCCTCATTGTGGTTTTGATTAACATTTCCCTGATGGATCAGACAATCATATGTTCTATTATGCCAGGAATGGAAAAAATTGAAAAAGAATAGAGTTCTGTTCATGGTCAATTGGACCATTTCAAGATTCATCATGAAGTACAATGCTTTAAGTGATAGGATGCTATTCATACCCATGCAAGGAAGACCTGTTAATACAGCTGTTATTCAAATATCATCACCAATAACTAAACCCAGAGAGGAGGAAATTGATCATTTCTCCCAATTTTTGCAGTCTTAAATTGACAGAACATATAGTCGAGATGCATTAATAATAATTGGCGACTGGAATGCAAAAGTACTAATAGTGAGAAATTACAGACATGACAGAAATGAGACTTGCGATCAGATGATCTAATTTTGTACAATGATTTACTAATCACAAACTCTTTCTTTTTTAAAAAAGAACCCACAGTGTTTATACACATGGGAGTCACCTGACTACATACAAATCAGATTAACCACATCTGTGGAAAATTTTTGGAGAAGCTCAACATCAGCAGTCAAAACCATACCAAGTGCTGACTGTGGCACCGACCACTAATTACTAATGTGCATGTTAGAATTAAAACTGAAGAAAATCTAAACAAGTCCACAAAAACCAAAGGATGACCTTGAGTTTGTCCTACCTCAATTTAAAAACCATCTCAAGAACAGATTTAAGGCACTGAGCACTAATGATTGAAGACCAGATGAGCTGTGGAATGACATCAAAGATAACATCCAAGACAAAAGCAAAAAGTCACTGCAAAAACAGGAGAGAAAAGAAAAACCAAAATGGATGTTGAAAGAAACTCAGAAAATTGCACTGAGCATTAAGAAGACAAAGCAAAGAAGGAAAATGGTGACATAAAATACATGAACAGAAGAATTCAAAGGGCAGCTCAAGAAGAAAAAGCAAAAAAATATAATGAAATGTACAAAAACTGGAGTTAGAAGATAAAAAATGAAGAAATCATTCAGCAATTCTCAAGCTGAAAGAACTAAGAAACCAATGGAAGCCTCTAGTTGGAAATAGTGAAGGATGCCACAGGCAAAATCTTGAATGATTCAGGAAGCATCAAAAGAAGTTGAAATAATACACAGAGTCACTGTACCAAAAAGAATTGACTGACACAGAACCATTCCTGGAACTAGCATATGAGCAGGAACCAATAGTAATGAAAAAAAGAAGTTCAAGCTGTACCGAAGGCATTGGCCACAAAAAGGCCCCAGGAATTGATGACTTACCTTTTGAGGTGTTTCAACAAACAGATACAGCCCTGGATGTGACAAGAAATTTAAAAGACAGCTACCTAGCCAACTGACTGGAAGAGATCTATATTTGTTCCTATTTTTTGTAAGTGATTTAACAGAATGTGGGAATTATCAAGCAGTTGCTGTGGAGGGTCAAGGACTGCAGCCTTCAGTTTGGACTGAGGCTCAATGTCAAGAAGACAAAGATTCTCACCACTGGACCAATTGGCAGCGTCAGGATGGATGGCGAAGAGATTGAGATTGTTCACAGCTTCTGTTTGCTCGGCTCCACAGTCAACACTCTTGGCACCAGCAGTCAGGAAATCAAAAAGCGTATCGCGATGGGAAAGTGTGCTGTTAGGGACCTCTCTAAAGTACTCAGGAGCAACGGTGTCTCTCTGGAGACTAAGGTGTGCCTGATACAGGCCATGGTCTTTGCAATCGCTTGTTATGCATCAGAGAGTTGGACAATGACTAGGGAGGACAGAAGGAGAGTTGATGCCTTTGAGCTGTGGTGCTGGAGAAGAGTACTGAATGTACCATGGACTGCCAGGAAAACAAACAGATTCATCTTGGAGAGGATTAAACCAAGCTACTCCTTGGAGGCAAGGATTCTGGGGCTTCGTCTCACATACTTTGGACATGTTGCCAGGAGGGACGGGTCCTTGGAGAGGGACATCATGCTTGGGAGGGTGGAGGGACAGCACAGGAGGGGAAGACCCTCTATGAGATGGATTGATTCAGTGACTGGGGTAATCAGGATGGGTGTGTCAGAGGCAGTGCGGTTGGTGTAGGATAGAGCAGGGTTTAGGGCTGTTGTGCATAGGGTCGCTATGAGTCGCAAAGGACTCAACGGCACATAACAACAACAACATCATTAATATCACATTCAAGTAAAATCTTACTGAAGATCCTAAAAAAACTCAGATGGAATATCAACAGAGAACTGCCAGAAATTCAAGCTGGATTTAGAAGAGACTGTAGTGCCAGCTATATCATTGCTGATGTCAGATGGATCTTGGCTGAATTCAGAGAATAACAGAAGGACATCTATTTGTGTTGTATTGCCTATGCAAAGGCATTTGACTGGGTGAATCATGACAAACTATGGTTAACATTGAGAAGAATGAGAGTCCCAGAACACTTACTTATGCTCTTATAAAACCTGTACTTAGACCAAGAAGCTGTTGTCCAAACAAAGCAAGAAAACACTGCAAGGTTTAAAATCAAGAAAGGTGTACATCAGGACTGTATCCTTTCTCTATATCTGTTCAATCTGTATGCCAAGCAAATCATTAAAGAAGTTGGGTTTATTAAGAGTGTGGCATCAGGTTTAAGGGAAAACTCATCAAAACGTGCATTAAGCAGATGACACAACATTGCTTGCTGAAAGTGAAGAGAACTTTTTTTTTGTTTTGAACCTTTAATGAGTATATATATATATATATATATACATACATACATACATACATACATATACATACTATGGAGCTCAAGAACATTGCGTTTGGTGTGTCACTGGGTGCAGGGCTGAAGACATGACAAGGCCAACAGAGAATGGACAAACACAGTTACAAGGAAACGAAAAGGGGGCCCGACAAGGCTAAGTCTCGGTTTCCTCGTCATTTAGCAGCATGTTGGGGATCCCGTGGCTGATGGGGAAGAGACGTCCAGACTCTGGGCACTGCAGGGTGCCCTGTAATACGTCCACCTCCAGCAGCACATGGTGCATTGAAGAGAACTTTAAATGCTTGCTACAGAAGATAAAATACTTCAATATAGATTACATCTTATATCAAGAAAACAACAGTCTTTACCATTGGATCAATCAGGAACATCATGATAGAGAAAAGATTAAAGTTGTCAGTGATTTCAACTTGCAATGGGTAAATCTGCTGTTAAGGATCTCTCAAAGGTATTAAAGAGCAACAACGTCATTTTAAAAACTAAGATGCATTTGATTCAAGCCATGGTCTTTTAAATTACTTGTTATGCATCTGAAAGTTAGATAGTGACTAAGGATAACAAAAGAAGAATCAATGCCTTTAGGTTGTGATGTCAGCCTAAATAACCCATGGACTTCCAAACAAACAAGCAAATATGCCTTGGAGAAAGTGCAACCAGAGTGTTACTTGGAGACAAAGATGATGAAGCTTTATCCCACCTATTTTGGGCATGTTGTTAGGAGGGGCTAGTCTAATTAGCTTGGGAAGGTGGAGGGTCAATGAAAAGAGTACAAGAACTTTAAGAGATGGATTGATACAGTGACGATCACAATGGACTCAAGTATGTCAGAGATGATGAGGATGGCAGAAGGTAGGGCAGAGTTCAGACCCATTGTTCATAGGGTCACTATGAGTTGTAGTCTACTCATAGGCCTCTAACAACAACCTATTCTCCTGTGTTCATTTGTTATTTAAATATTGTCTTTAGATAAGTATATTTCAAATTCTTTGCCCACATTTTAGTGGGATTGTTTTTTTCATATTGTTAAATTGCAAGAGTTCTTTGTATTTTCTGAATTCTAGACCCTTAATGAGTGTGTATTTTACAAGTAGATTCTCCTATCCTGTAAGTTGCCTTTTTTATTTTCTTTAGAATTCTCTTTGAAACAAAAAAGTTTCTCAAGAAGTGCATTTTTTTCTTGCTATTTTTATTGGCTTGCTTGCAAAGTTGGTAACATTGTGTCTCACACTATTCTTCATTCATAGTGTGTTTCATACAATCATTCTCATGCTTTATGTTTTATAAAATTAACCACCATTGGACCTTGCCTATCCTAACGCTGTCTTTTCACCCAGATCCTTTCCATTTTCTCCCCCCTCTTCATCCACCAAACTGTGCAACTCTGTGGTTTCACCCCTACCGGTCCTCACCTCTCCACTCCCACCACCCCTTTCACCCTTGGGTTCCCATTCGTGTTTTACTAGTTATCCTTCTATTTTTATAATAATGGTCTTAAACAGAATTTGCTTTTGTTTCTTGTACTTTTTGTGCTATATTTAAAAATATTTTTGCATCATTCAAATTAAAAGATGAATTGGATTGGGAAAGTCTGCTGTCAGAGACCTCTTCAAAGTACTGAAGAGCAATGATATCACTCTGAAGACTAAGATGCGCCTGACCCAGGCCATAGTCTTTGCAGTTCTTGCTATGCATCAGATAGACAATGACTAGGGATGATAGAAGGAGAATTGATGCCTTTTAGCTGTGATACTGAAGAAGAATATTGAATGGACAGCTAGGAGAACAAACAGGTTCATCCTAGAGAGGGTAAGACCAGGCTATTCCACATGCCTTTGGGATTTCAGTGCAGCTTCTTACAGCCAGAGCTCGCTTGCTCGTGCTCTCTTGCGCTTTCTCTCTCCCTCTTTACCTCCCTCCCTATCTACCTCCCTCACTCCCTATCTATCTCCATGATAATGTCCTTTTAAACATGCAACTGCTGTATTGAAGTCTGCTTTGGAGACAGAGGCAATGAACTGCATGGAGCTCTTTTGCTCTGAGTTGACCACTGCTGGGCTATGTTCATGGCATCCAAAAGCCATTGATTACAGAAAGAAGAAGCTCATATACAAAAAGAGTAAAACAATGGCCAAGAACATGAAGAGAAAGCGTGTGTGGCAATCAGTGAAGAAGAGAAAGAGGGAAGAAAGAATTTATATCTTGCACAAATTATTTTCTTGACGTGACATCACTGTCAAGCAGCTTTTATTGTAGAGCTGATTCTTTTTAAAAGTGGACTCTCTAATTCTGCGCTTAAAAAGTAAAATTCTGTAATGTCATAATTTTTTCCTTAAATAGAGACTGTATTTTGCCTAGAACTGTCCAGGAGTGAGGATAATGATAGGGTGGTATTAATAAGTTCAGAATTCTCTATATAGGTGGTTGTGGTTGTTGTTGTTGTTGTTATGTGCCGTTGAGTCGCTTGCGACTCATAGCGACCCTATGTACAACAACCCTAAACCCTGCTCTATCCTGTGCCAATCGCATTGCCTCTGACATACCCATCCCAATTTCCCCAGTCACTGAATCAATCCACCTCATAGAGGGTCTTTCCCCTCCTGCACTTTCTCTCCATCCTCCCAAGCATGATGTCCCTCTCCAAGGACCTGTCCCTCCTTACAACATACCCAAAGTATGTCAAATGAAACCCCAGAATCCTTGCCTCCAAGGAGCAGCCTGGTTTAACCCTCTCCAGGATAAATCTGTTTGTTTTTCTAGCAGTCCATGGTACATTCAATACTCTTCTCCAGCACCACAGCTCAAAGGCATCCACTCTCCTTCTATCCTCCCTAGACATTGTTCAACTCTCTGATGAATAACAAGTGACTGCAAAGACCATAGCCTGTATCAGACACATCTTATTCTTCAGTACCCTGGGAAGGTCCCTAGCAGCAGACTTTCCCATCGCAATACATCTTTTGATTTCCTGGCTACTGGTGCCAAGAGTGTTGACCATGGTGCCAAGCAGACTAAAGTTGTTAACAATCTCAATCTCGTCACCATCCATCCTGATGCTGCCAGTTTGTCCAGTGGTGAGAATCTTTGTCTTCTTGACATTGAGCCTCAATCTATCTTGAAGGCTGCAGTCCCTGATCCTCAGAGCAAGTGCATCAGGTCCTCCTCAGTTTCAGCAAGCAGGGTTGTGTCATCTGCATAAAGCAGATTGTTAATAGATCTTCCACCAATCCTGATGCCACACTTCTCCTCATAGAGCCCAGCCTCCCGGATAATCTGTTCTGCCTACAGGTTGAAAAGGTATGGAGATATGACACATGCCTGGTGTACACCTTTCCCAATTTTGAACCATGCAGTGTTTCCTTGCTCTGTTCTGACAACTGCCTCTTGGTCCAAGTATAGGTTTCACATTAGAATAATCAAGTGTTCTGGGATTCCCATTCTTCTCAGAGTCAGCCACAGTTTGTTATGATCCACACAGTCAAACACCTTTGCATAATCAATGAAACACAGATAGACATTCTTCTGGTATTCCCTGCTTTCAGCTAAAATCCATCTAACATCAGCTACAATATCTCTAGTACCACGACCCCTTCTAAACTCAGCCTGGACTTCTGGCAGTTCTCTGCTGATGTGCTGTTCCAGTCGTTTTTGGATGATCTTCAGTAGAATCTTGCTTGCATGTGAAATCAATGCTATTGTTCTGTAGTTTCCACACTCTGTTGGGTCACCCTTCTTTGGAATGGGAACAAATATAGATCTCTTCCACTCAGTTGGCCAAGTGTATCAATTATAAAACTAGTTTTCTCCAGCCTGCGGGACTGGTTGCTTGACCTTGGAGTTCTTATTGTCCTTTCTGTGAAAGTCTTTTAATCAGAAGAGGAGATGCATCTCCTAGATTAGCTGTTATCTCTTTGAAGCTGTTTTCCCCAATCTTGTGTAAATTGTAACTTACTCTGCCTGTTTGCCTGGAATGAGAGTATCTGGGTGTGAATAAGTTTCTTTCAGATATAGAAATCCTTTGATTTTACTAACAAAAGTTTATTGTTAAGTAAGTTGGTGTCTCACCCTCCTATAAAAGCCCATGTCCGCTCCCAGACTGGGAGACAGTTTTGGAGGTGGCTGGCTGTCTCCCAGATCTGTATAATAAAGTGTGTTTATGGATATTGCAATCTGTTTGTCTTATTGGCAATTGACTGCGGAAAGAACCCCTTGTGTTCTGTAACAATAACATGGGAAACACACATAGACATAGGAAGGTCATTATTAAAGATGACAAAGCATATCATGAGTGAAAAATATTTTTAGAGAAAAAGATAACAGACAGTGGAAATTGCCCAAGAAATTGAAAATAATAAAATTATTAATACAGACTAACTATTCTTTCTTTTTTCACTTTATTTTTATTTCATATTGGTTTGTATACATTGTACACATTGGTTTGTATACATTGTATACATTGTACATCCATGTACATTGTTTCACTTATTCCTACACTCACACTGGGTTTCAAAGGGTCACCCACATACACCGTGTTCCACAATATTTATCACCATTGATCTATACCCACCACCCCCCTCTCCCCCAGATCCTCACTGGATCTTTCTTGAAACTGCTTGAGAGAATGCTTTAGCTCGTGAAGGATGACTCAAATCCACATTTGGCTTTTGTTGCCTAGATTAATTCTCAGGGTATTTTAGAATGATTTTCCTTTTGGTGTCATAAAGTAAAATGTTAATCCAACCTCATATTGATTAAAATTGCTCAGCAAATGGTAATGATACTTTTTTTCCCAACTATTTGGATTCTGAGTAGTTTCTGAATTTTATGATAGATTGACTGCCTTATATTGAACATTTATCATATATTTAATGAGGAAAAAACTATTTTTACTTTGGGGAAAAATGTGACTCAGATACAGTTCAGGTTACTGGCTTAGGTCAGCATCCCAAGGAGTTGATAGCAATACTTCTTCCTCATCTTTCAGGGAATCTTAGTCAAATGCTGATGTTTGGTGTAGGGCGGGGTGTTCACGCAGAACAATGGTTGTCAGGGAGTGTCCTCTGAGAGTGGTGACCAACTTTGCCAGGCTTCAGATAATGTACATTTTGGTCCCATCTCAGCCCTCTAAACATTCCCGTTTCTACTTGGCTTTGGGGGGATTTCTGAGCACTCAAGAGATGCCATACTCATTACCTGGGCACTCAGGGAAGTAGTCTCAGATACAGCTAATGCTCTAGCCAAGGTGAGGACTTTTTACATGTAATGGCTGAAATTGGTGGGGTGGGGAGTGGGGCGGGAGGAACAATACAACAGACTGAAACCTCAAACTATTGCTTCCCCCCCCCATCTCAAAAACGCTAGGAAAGCAGAAAACTTCTTAAGGGGATTGTCTCTTGACCTTCTGCTTTATCCTCTACACAACTCCTGCCTTGGATCTTTGATAAATGCCCATGTCTACAATTCTCCCCTCATCTAAGAGGGTAAAAACAAAGCAAAGGACCCCAAAGAAGTATGGTGTGAAAGGAATCTCTGGGAAAATGTGAATTTGACATAGTTCCCAGAGTCACTGACAAGCAATTAAGAGAGATAAAGAATATCACACATGAAACACAGAAGAAGAAAGGATATCTTTAAGTTGAAGTTTAGTTTAAATTGTACTCTGATACCTTGAGGACTGCACCAAGAAATTAGGAAGAAGAAAATTAGGAAGAGGATAATTGTCCTTGACAAAAGACTACCACTTCTCAGAACTCCTGACTTAATATGAGCTAAATAAAAATCTCAGTCTGAAGACTAAGATGGGCCTGATCCAGGCCATAGTCTTCCCAATTACTTACTATACCTCAGAAAGCTGGATAATGATTAGAGACGATAGAAGGAGAATTGATGCCTTTGAGCTGTGGTGCTGGAGAAGAGTACTGAATATACCATGGATGGCTAGGAGAACAAACAGGTTCATCCTTGATAGGATGAGACCAGGATGCTCCTTAGAGGCAAGATTCTGAAGCTTCATCTGACATGCTTTGGACATGCTGCAAGGCAGGACCAGTCATTGGAGAGGGAAGTCATGATTGGGAGGGTGGAGAGACAGTGCAGAGAGCAAGACCCTTGATGAGATATAATTGATTCGGTGACTAGGGTAATGGGGGAAAGTGTGTCAGAGACAAAAAGATTGGTACAGGGAAGAGCCAGGTTTAGGGCTGTTGTACACAGGGTTGCTATAAGTTGCAGGTGACTTGACAGCACATAACAACAACAAATAAAAATCTATTTCAAGTTTAAGAATTAGTAGGCATGAGGAATGGTGAGTACTCTGGAATCTTAGAAGAAGGAATTAAAAACTTCAGGTTGAGTCAATTGCAGCATTTCTCAAGCTGAAAGAACTGGAAACAAATTCAAATATCAAGTTACAATACTGAGATACACTATGGGGGAAATCTTGAATGATTTGGGAAGCATCCAAAGAAAGATAAGGGAATGCACAGTCGCTACCAAAAAGAATTGGTCAACACTGAATTATTTCAGGAACATAAGATAAGGGAATGCACAGTCACTACCAAAAAGAATTGGTCAACACTGAAATATTTCAGGAAGGAACATATGCTCAAGAGCCAAAGGTCATGAGTCAAGTTCAAGCTGCATTGAAAGCTTTGGCAAAAAATAAGGTTCAAGGAATCAGTGGGATGCCAATTGGCATGTTTCAACTAACAGACAGATATGCTCAGCAGTCTGTGCTAGGAAACTTGAAAGATTTGGTCAACTGATTGGAAGAGATCTGTATTTTTTCCATTCCCAAGAAAATGAATGTGGAAATTGTCTAACAACATCATTTATATCACATGCAAGCAACATATTACTGAGAATCATTCAAAAGTGGCTAGAGCAGTACATTGACAGGGAACTTCCAGATGTTCAAGCTGGGTTTAGAAGAGTCTGTGGCACCAAGGATATTATTGCAGATGTCAGATGGACTTTGACTTAAAGCGGAGAATACTAGAAGAATGTCTATTTGTGTTTTATATACTATGCAGAAGCATTTGACTGTGTAGATCATAGCAAACTATAGCTAATATTGAGGGAAATGGGAATTTCAGAACACTTAATCATGCTTAAACTTAGATCAAGAAGTAGTTGTCCATACAGAACAAGGGAACACTGCATGATTAAAACTCAAAAAAGGTATATATCAGGGCTATATCACCTCTCCATACCTGTTCAATTTATATGCTGAACAAATCATTCAAGATGCTGGACTTCATGAAAAAGAATGTGTTGTCAGGACCAAAGGAAGACTTATCAACAACCTTGGTTATACTAATGATACAACCTTGCTTGCTGAAAGTGAAGGCAACTTGAAACACTGTTGCAGAAGATCAAAGATTTCAACCTGCAATGTCAATTATATCTCAGCATCAAGAAATCAAATATCCTCAGCACTGGGTCAAAGGCAACATCAAACAGATGGAGAAAAGATTGAAGTTGTCAGTAATTTCATCTTGCTTGGATCCACAATCAACATCATTGATGCCAGGAGTTAAGAAATCAAAAGATGTTCTTTTAGAAAGATAGTAGTGGTGGTGGAGGAAACAGTGTAAGGAGCTGGAGGAAGAGCAAGCTGTTTAGAAATGGGCCACTAGAGAGACCAACGCTGTGCTCAGAGACTGGCATGGCGTGGTGCCACAGGAACAGCAGGCCTTGGGCCCAGTGGAAGCCACCAGCAGAGCTGCTGTGGGACCTACTCGCCAGGAGCAAGCAGGTCAGCAGGAAATTGACTGAGTTTTCTTAAGCCCCACTTGACCCAGGGCCCTCCTGGGGCAGGGACCACTGGGCAAGGGCCCCTGGGTGAGGGCCACTGGGAAAGGACCACTGCACATCAGCACACCCGGACAGCTGAAATCTGAGTGAGGTCCCCACACATGGCTACCCTGGTCCTGTGCCTACCCTGCTCACCCCCTGCTCACCCCCATCCCCGTGCCTGCCCCTGTGCCTGCTCTGCCCCCTATTCAGCTCCACACCTGTGCCTACATGTCCAGTCAATCAACTTGCCTTTAATCTGGAGCACCTTGATCTGACTTAGCTATAAAGGCTGTTCTCACAAGCACTGAACTGAAACTTCCCTTGAGTCAGAAGTTCAGAGAGAAATACAGGCAGGGTAGCTGCCCCACCAATTTCTAAAGCAGTGTATTTAGATCAATAACCTACTTCACCTCAGGCAAGAGAAACTCTACCACAGCAATTTCACAAAAGAAGCAGGCTATCTCACACCCTACACAAGCACAAAGCAAGTGTCACCCCAAAAATTTGACACAGTATCAATGGATTTCCTGAAGCCAGAAAGTCTGATGGAAATTTCTGACATAGAATTTAAAAGAATAATGATTGAATATTTTCAATGGATGAAAGACAAACTTGAAGAATTACAGTACACTGCAAGCAAAACCAATCCAGAACAATGCAGATAAAACAAATGAGGCATTAGTGGCACTGGAAAAGTAAGAAGCCACAATCCAAAATATGAGGTCCAATGTTTCAGAAATTATCTACATGATAGAGGGACACATGAACAGAGTTGAAGAAATGGAACACAGAACCAGTGAAATAGAAGATAGAATTGTCACCACTGATATCCTAGAGCAAAAAGCAGAATCAAAAAAAGAAGGGAAAAGAAGAAAAACTAAGAATACTGTTGTGGAAGAATTACTAGAGGAAAACATCCCAGGCATAATGAAGAATGAGAGAATATATATTCAAGCAGTTGAGCGAACACCATATGACTAAATTCCAAAAGAAAAACACCAAGAAAACACCAAGGCATAACATAGTTAAATTTGCCAGAACCAAAAATAAGGAAAGAATTCTGAAAGCAGTGAGGGAGAAACAAAGAGTAACCTATAAGGGAGAGCAGGTAAGACTAAGTGCTGATTTCTCAGCAGAAACCATGCAAACAAGAAGACAGTGGAATGACACATATTAAACACTCAGAGAACACAACTGTCAACCAAGAATACTGTACCCAGAGAAAGTGTCCATCAAATATGAAGGAGAGATCAAGATATTCCCAGAAAAACAAAACCTAAGGGAGTTTATAAATACAAGACCAGTGTTGCAGAAAACAATAAGAGATGTTTTTTCTCACAGAGGTGCCACAAAAACCGGGATGGATCAAAGTAACTAGCAACAACATCAAAAAGAACTCAACAAAATGATAGCAATAAAAACCTGCCTCACAATAATCGCACTGAATGTGAATGGTTTAAATGCACCACTGAAGAGAAAAAGAGCACCAGATTGGATAAAAAACCCCAAAGTCCATCAATATGTTGTCTACAAGAAACACACCTGAAAAATGAAGGTAAATAAAGACTAAAAATAAAAGGGTGGGAAAGACAAGCAAATGACAACCTGAAAAAAGCAGGAGTTGCAATATGAATCTGTCATAAAATAAATGTCGATGCAAAAACTATCACAAAGGGCAAAGAAGGTTACATGCTTAAAGTGTCAATAGAACAAAAGGACATAATAATAATAATAATAATAAATATCTATGCACCAAATGCTAGAGCTGTAAAATATAAAAAACAAACATTAACAAAACTGAAAAAGAAACAGACAATGTATAGTAGTTGGAGACTTCAATACAGCATTCTTAAGAAAAGATAGAGCTACCAGAAAGAAACTCAACAAAGATGCTGAAGAATTAAACCACACCATAAACCAACTCAATCTCATAGATATTTATAAGCTAATGCACCCACAAATAGCACAGTACACCTTCTCCAGTGTGCATGGAACATTCCCCAGAATAGATCACATTTTAGGTAACAAGGCAAGCATCAATAAATTCAAAAACATAGAAATAATACAAAGCATTTTCTCAGACCACAGCATTATATAATTAGAAATTAAGAACAAGAGGATAAAGGAGAAAAACCATACCTTTTAAAGCTGAACAACACCTTGCTTGAACATGAGTGTGTACTAGAAGGATGAAATTTTTTTAAAGATTTTTTTTATTTTTTAAATTTTTTTTTTTATGTGTATGTGTGTGTGTGTGTGTGTGTGTGTGTCTGTGTGTGTGCCGTCAAATCAGATCTGACTGGTACAGGAGGAGATTGCCCCTCCTTCCTCGGCAGAGCATCTGGTGGATTTGAACCGTGCGCCTCTGGGATTGCAGTGCAGCTTCTTGCCACTAGGCCACCAGAGCTCCCAAGAAGGATGAAATTAAAAAGAAACAGCAATGAAAACACCACTTACAAAAACTTCTGGGGAAAAGTAAAAGCATTAATCAGAGGTCAATTTATAGCAATAAGCAAACACATCAAAAGGCAGGAAAAAATGGCCATTGACTCTCTAACCCAATATCTCCAACAAATTGAAAAAGAACAGCAAGAAAACCTGTCAAACTTTAAAAAACCTAAAATTTTATAAAAATTAGAGCAGAAATAAGTAAAATAGAAAACCAAAGCAATTGAACCATCAACAAAACAAGGAGTTGGTTCTTCGTAAAGGTCAATAAAATTGACAAACCACTAGCAAAATTAAAAAAGGAAAAGACACAAATAATCTGAATAAAAGATTAAATAGGCAGCATCAAAACAGAACCAACTAAAATTAAAAGGGCTAACATTAGAATTTATGAAAAACTATGTTCAAACAAATATGAAAACCTAGGAAATGGACACATTCACAACCTACCTAAACTGACACAAACTGAAATTGAATACCTGAACAGACCCATTACAAAAGAAGAAATTGAAAAGGTACTAAAACAACTTCCAGCCCAAAAAAGTCCTGGTCCAGATGGTTTTACAAGTTAATTTTATCAAACATTCAGAGAAGAATAGTCATCAATTATACATAAAATATTTGCGAAAATAGAAAAAGATGGAATTCACTCAGACTCATTCTATGAAGCAAACATATCCTTGATAACAAAGCCAGGTAAAGACATGACCACTAGAGAAAACTATAGGCCAATATCTCTCATGAACATTGAAGCATAAATCCTGAATAAAATCTTAGCCAATAGAATCCAATGATACATAGAGGGGGAAGAAATTCACCATGACCAAGTGGGACTCATAACAGGTATAGAAGGTTGGTTCAACATAAAAAAAATTTTAATTCATCACATTAACAAAGCAAAGAACAAGAACCACATGATCCTATCAATTGATGCAGAAAACACCTTAGAAAAAATCCAACACCCTTTCCTGATTAAAACACTCAACAAACTAGAATTAGAGGGGAATTTCTGCAACATAGTAAAAAGTATATATGCAAACCTGAGAGCCAATATTTGTCTCAATGGAGAAAGATAAAAGGTATTCCCCTTGAGAACAGGAACTAGGCAAGGATGTGCACTATCACCTCTGCTATTCAATATTGTATTGAAAGTCTTAGCAATAGCAATTATACAAGAGAAGGAAATAAGAGGTACCCAAATTAGTAAAGAGGAGGTAAAATTCTCTCTATATGCAGATGATATGATAGTATACTTAGAAAACCCCAAAGACTCAGTAAAAAAAAAACCCCTACTGGACATAGTTGACTAATTCAGCAAAGTAGCAGGATATAAAATCAACATACAAAAATCAATTGGATTTCTCTATAGCGACAGAGAGAATACAGAAATGGAGCCAAGAAAATACCCTTCACAATAGGCAATTACAAGATTAAATACTTGGGAGTAAATCTAACAAGAAGCACAAAGAATCTATTAAAAGAAAATTACAAAACATTATTACAAGAAACAAAAAGAGACCTGGAGAAGTGGATGAATATCCCTTGCTCATGGATAGGAAGACTCAATATTGTGAAAATGGCAATACTACCAAAGGCAAGTTACACCTTCAATGCAATCCCAATTCAAATACCAATTCCACTCTGCAACGAGATGGAAAAGGCAATCTCCAATTTCATTTGGAATGGAAAGAGGCCCTGAATAAGCAAAGCACTCCTTAAAAATAGAAACAATGTAGGAGGCTTCTCACTCCCTGATTTCAAATCCTACTACACTGTTGTGATGGTCAAGATAACTTGGTATTTGTACAATGACAGACAATTCAATGGAATAGAATTGAAAATCCAGAAATCAACCAAGGAGATTAAATCAGTTAAGTGGGGAAATGACAGCATTTTTAACAAATGGTGCTGGCAAAACTGGAAAACGATCTGTAGAAAATTCAAGTAAGATCCACACCTCACTCCATACACAAAAAACAACTCAAAGTTGATCATGGACCTAGGACTAAAACCAAGGACTATAAACTTCATTAAAGAAAAGTCTGAAAGAATTCTACAAGGCCTAATCCACAACATAAACAGTCTCGCAAGGATCCTGAAAAACCTACAACCAGGAGAGGATAAAATAGATGAATGGGACCATCTAAGAATCAAATCCCTATGCACATCCAAAAACTTCCCCAACGGGGTAAAAAGGGAAGCCACAGACTGGGAAAAAATATTTGGTGATGACACATCACATAAGGGACTTATATCTAGAATTTATAAAATACTCAAGCATCACAACAAGATAACCCAATTGAAAAATGGGCACAGGCTATGAACAGACACTTCATCAAAGAATACATTCAGATGGCAAACAAACATATGAGGAAATGTTCAAAATCCCTAGTTCTAATCAAAACAACTATGAGATATCATCTCACCCAGTAAGAATAGCAAAATTTAACAGAACAGCAAACAACAAATGCTGGTGAGGTTGTGGAGAAACTGGAACCCTTATTCACTGTTGGTGACAGTGTAAAATGGTGCCATCAATATGGAAGGCTGTATGGCGCTTTCTCAAAAAGTTGCAAATAGAAATACCATTTGACCAGCAATTCCATTACTGGGAATATACCCTAAAGAAACCATAACCACCTCCCAAGCAGGTATATATGCACACCCATGTTTATTGCTGCTTTGTTCACAATAGCAAAGAGTTGGAAACAACCTACGTGCCCATCAACAAACAAATGGACAGAGAAGCTGTGGTATATTCACACAATGGAATACTATGCTGCATTGAAAAATAAGGAACTCATGCAATATTATTCAAAATGGTTGACCCTTGAGAACATTATGCTGAATGAAATATCTCAGTCTCAAAAGGACAAACACTGCATAGTGCCACTGTTTTAAAATGGGACTGACAGTGGTGTTTGAGGGAGACTGAAAGAGAGGGCATAAATAATGTATACTGCATTGAAACAGACGAGGGAGAGAACTGTTTAAAAGGGATATATAATTAGGTATTATTGTCATAACTGGAGTCCAGAATGAAGGCTGCATAGTGGAGTGGACTCCAGGGGAGGGATTGTATAAAACTGAAAGAAATTTTCTTTTACTATTCAAAGAGAGGAGCAAATTGGGAGGGTGGGGTGAGCAGGGAGAAAAGTGCAACAATGAATGAGTGGAAATCCAAAGTCTCTGTAAACTTTCATTAAAATTAATAAAAGAAATCAAAAGACATTTCACTGGCAAAGTCTGCTGTCGGGGACTTCTCAAAAGTACTAAAGCAATATTGTCAACTTAAAGATGAATACACCTGATTTAAACCATGGACTTTTCCACTACCTACTATGCATTTGAAAGCTAAACAGTTAATAAGGACAGCAGAAGAAATATTGATGTCTTTGAGTTGTAGTCTTATAAAAGAGTGCTGAGTGTCCCATGGCTATGCAAGAAATAAATACCTACATCTTGGGGAAAGTGCAGCCAGAGTATTCCTTGGAGGCAAAGGTGGTGAACTTTCACCTCATACACTTTAGACATGTTTTTAGGAGAGGCTTTTTCTAGGAAAAGGAAAGGTATAAGGTCAGGGGGGGAAAAACCCACCAAAACCAAAGACTTTCAATGAGGTAGATCGACACAGTGACTACAGTAATGGCACCAAGTGTATTAGAAATGGTGAGGATGACTCAGAATAAGACAGTGTTCAGACCTGTTGTTCAGTAGTGTTGCTATGAGTTATATTCAACTCTGCAGCACTTAACACCAATAACAACAATCTCATTCTAAAACATTTCATGCTAGTTAATGAAGTATGTATGTTATTGTTGAATATCATCAAGTCAGAACTAATCCATAGTTGACCGTCCAGCAGGTTTTCAGAGGTGGTTAATCATATGGGAGGAGAGTGCCCATCTTTCTTCCGTACAGCAGCTGGTTGATTAGAACTGTGTACCTTCAAGAGTGTGGCACAGCTTCTTATCACTAGGCTACCAGAGCCATGATTAGCAAAATCTAAAGAATAATTAAACTAAGAAAAAACCCTCATTGCTGTCAAGTTGAAACTGACTCATAACTAACTTTACAGCAGGTTTCGTGATACTGTGCATTGCATAGGAAGAGATTGCCTATCTTCTCTTGTAGAGATATGGTGGACTTGAGCCTTGAGGTTGACAGCTCAATTCCTTAACCACTAGGCTACTGGAGCTCCCAAAGAATGCTGATGACCTTAAAAACAGACTTAAGAATCTTAGTTTCTAAACTATTGGCTTTGGAAATTAAGCTTAGTCAATGATAATGTCTTTGAGTTCTAAATTATAATTGCAAGAAAAAGGCTGTTTGGAGGTTGTTCTTTTGTTTTGATAACTAGAAAATTTATTTCAATATTACCATCAAATGAAAACTTTTTTCAATAGTGTATATATTTCCAGACATCTCCGTATACATCCAAAGGCCATGGTGTGATAATCAGCTGTTCAAGTATTAGCTCTTAACCTGGACATCATGATCTATCTCATATTGAAAGTCTTCATCGTTGTAACAACAGTGGTTCTTCCAATCATTTTATTCATTAATGAAAATCCTTTCGATAGTACAAGCTTCCTGTCTTTGGTGAGTACCAGAAACTTGGAGGGAGGGAGAAAGGAGGAGTGTTGAGCAAATCTGAAACACCTGTAAAGAAAAAGATAAACCATTATGTAAGTGTATTTGTGTGAAATCACCACTAACTGTTGCTGTTGTTGAATGCCATTGAGTCGCAGATGACTCATAGTGACCCTATGAACGAAAGACCTGAACACCTGAATAACTTTCATCGTTTTTCCAAGCTCATGTAGTTTCTGGAGGCAAGCTATTTTGGAAGTGGATGCCACTCCTGCTTCCAAGTTTGTTTTAATTAGGGAGCTCCACCAGACACTGTCCACCATGGGTAACCATCATCAGATTTGACACATCAGTGTCACAGTGTTTAGCATCACATCAACCACGAGTTACCTCTGTATAGCAAACGGACAGGCCAGTGCTATACCATTTAGAAGGGTGTTTGGTCAAAAACAATTAAAATCAGGCCTGAGGGCTGCAGATTAAAATCACCCACCAACTGGCAGCATCAGGATGGATGGTGAAGAGATTGAGATTGTACATAGCTTTAGTTTGCTTGGCTCCATAGTCAACAGTCTTGGCACCAGCAGCTAGGAAATTAAAAGGCGCATTGCAATGGGAAAGTCTGCTGTTAGGGACCTCTCCAAAGTGCTGAAGAGCAATGGTGTCTCTTTGGAGACTAATGTGCGTCTGATACAGGCCATGGTCTTCGCAATCACTTGTTATGCATCAGAAAGTTGGACAATGACCAAGGAGGATAGAAGGAGAATTGATGCCTTTGAGCTGTGGTGCTGGAGAAGAGTACTGAGAATACCATGGACTGCTAGGAAAACAAATAGATTTGTCCTGGAAAGGGTTAAACCGGGTGGCTCCTTGGAGGCAAGGATTCTGAGGCTCCGTCTAACATACTTTGGACATGTTGTGAGGAGAGACCGGTCCTTAGAGAGGGACATCATGCTTGGGAGGGTGGAGGGACAGCGCAGGAGAGGAAGGCCCTCTATGAGGTGGATTGATTCAGTGACTGGGATAATTGGGATGGGAGTGTCGGAGACAGTGCGATTGGCACAGGACAGAGCGGAGTTTAGGGCTGTTGTACATAGGGTCGCTATGAGTCACAGGTGACTCGACGGCGCATAACAACAACACCACCACCTTTGGCTTAATAGCATAACTTTCTATCCCCTAGGCCAACAGAGCTCTCTTGTTCTTGTTGTTGTTGCTGTTGTTGTTAAGTGCCATCGAGTCATAGATGACTCATAGCAGCCCTATGAACAAAAGACCTGAACACTTGTATAACTTTCATCGTTTCTTCAAGTTTATAGTGTCTCCAGAGGCAAGCTATTTCTGAAGTGAATGCCACTCCTGCTTCCAAGCTTGTTTTAATTGGGAAGCTCCACCAAACACTTTCGATCATGGGTAATCATTATCACATTTGACACATCAGTGTCAGAATGTTTAGCTTCACAGCAACCATGAGTTACCTCTGTACAGCACCACTGAGAAACATGTTTGGGTTTTGGTCACTAACTGTTGACATACAAAAAAAGTGAGACAAATCTTGAGGAATAGAAGTATATTTTCCTTTGATGGAGAGAATAAGAGTGGCATCTAGAAGGGGAGGAAGGATAATTCAGAGCTGGGAAGAAATAAAACACTATTTCTGCCTTAGCAGAATGGGCCCTTTCTTATAGCAACTGATGAGGTAGAAAATTTCTTCTCATGTCAAAATTTTCCCATTTTAGAAATTGTCCTTAGATTTTTCAAAGTGACACATTTCTCTCATTTTATACACTGGGATTTTGAACCTCAAAATAGTTATGTCCTTTCTCCAGGAGAAGAAAAACTTTGAGCAGAGACTTTCTTGAGGAATCAGAGAAATCAAAGAACAGAAGAAATGGTTAGGAAGGTGAAATTCTACCTATTAACAAGAGTGTAGACTGAAGCACTGAGACGGTAACTACCTGGTCTCTGTTTCTCACACCTAGCATATGCTGTGTCCTTCATAAGACTAGATGGTCCATATGTGATTGTAATTGTACAAATGATGTAGACTGACATTATCTCATTCCTTATATACAACCCAAGAGAGCTAAAGATATCTCAACTCCCTTAACCTCATGACCTACAGCCTATATAAGAACCACTAGGATCTAACTTTTTCCAAAAACAAGGATGAAACAGCAGTGAAAACTGTATTTCTGGGAATTGTTTCATCACATTCTGCAAAGGGGAATTCACCATTATTCTCAAAGAGGATGAATCATGCAGCTGAACTTTATCCTTTTCTCAGGAGGAAAAGAAGATGGTAGCTTGGCAGAGAGCCCGGATACAGATCAAGCCAGGCAGAACAAACAACGTGGAAGCCTTCAAAAACATGCAGAAAAACTCAGAAGCACTGAAAAATGTGAACTCTCATATCTTGATTGGAGGTCCTCCTATGGAAAAAAGTGAGTGTCCACAAGATGTTATAGACCACCCAAAGGCAGATCAAGTAAAAGTAGAAGGGAAGGAGAGTAGAAAGGGTATGGAACAAGCAGCTGGGGAAGAATATAGGGATGCTGGCAGATAGGACCAGGCTATAAAATCTAGAAGCAAGACTGTAATCCTGAGTCATTAACTTCCCTCACTATCCCTGATGAAACTAGGGAGGAGAACTTGGAAAGGGAGGAATCCAAATTGGATAGCATAACTGAGAAAAGGTTAGAAGGCAACAATGCCATGTCTTGGTTAGGACTCTAAAGTTCACCTAGTACCTTGCTTCGCAAAGGGTGCTACTAGACAAACAGCTTCGTGAGCTTTTCAGAAATGTAGAATCTTGGGTTCTATTCTAGATCTACAGAGTCTTGGTGCAGATGAAGGCTCCACAGTTCTACGCAACAACAGGCCTACCATGTTTGCACAGATCTGACCTCTTCCTGATACTCTTATTGCATCATTCAGGCAGTTTTCATTCTCCTCGGCCACCAAAAACATGCTTCAATATTTTTTCTCATCTTGATATAAAGAAGGACAAATGTTTATCCACTAACAGTAAGCATCTCTAAGGTCCAGATTCTGGACTTCAAACATAATTTTCCACTAAAAAGATCCAGAACACCTTGTAAATAACACTACTTCTAGGTCTAAGGTGTTGTGTTGTGTGCCATTGAGTCAGAACTGACCCATAGTTGGCCCTACAATGGATTTTAAGAGACAGTAAATCTCATGGAAGAATATTGCCAATCCTCTCTCCCCCCAAAAGAAGCAGCTGGTGGATTCAAATCACAAGGCTTAGGGACAGCAATGAAATTGATAATAAATGAAGAAGGAATGATTGACTTAGAATATCACCAGATTGTAACCCACATTGACGTTTTGGGCGTCTACATTGAACATGTATGAAGTGTTGGTGGCCTAGTAGTAGGGCTCTAGGCTGGTAACCCAAAAGTGGCACATCACCAATCCATAAGATGTTGTTGCAAAAAAAATCAAATTTGACCAAATCTCCTTATTCGTATTTTCTATAAACTTTTTCTGCTTGATATCAATCTTTTCTTCTTCCAAAGATATAATTTTTTCTATTTCTCTGAGAAGTTATTTAACATCCAGTAGAGTGATAGAATTATGTACAATAAATTATTTGTTCATTGCAAATACCTTTTATAATAAGCACAATTGCAGACTATACACATGGATTTCACCTGGGGTAGGCACAGAAATCAGATCAAGTACATCTGTGGAAAGAATCCCTGGAGAAGCTCAATATCAGATGTTAAAACTAGGTCAGGTACTGATTGTGGAACAGATCATCAACTATTTATAGGCAAGTTCAAACTAAAGCTAAAAAAGACTAAATCAAATCTACAGGAACCAAAATTTGACCTTAAATTATCCCATATGAATTTCAAAATGATCTCAGGAGCAGGTTTGAGGTCTTGAATCCTGATGAGCTGTGTTGTTGTTGTTAAGAGCTGCCAAGTCGCAGGCGACTCATAGTGACCCATGAACAAAAGTTCTAGACACTGCATATATAACTTTTGTCCTCTCTCCAGGTTCATAGGGTTTCCAGAGGCAAGCTATTGTGAAAGTGGATGCCACTCCTGCTTCCAACTGATGAGCTGTAGGAGGATATAATCAATATCATCCAGAAAGAATGCAAAACGTTGTTATAAAGGCAGAGGAGGAAGACAAGACCAAGATGGATGTCATAAGATACTCTGAATATTGAGCTAGAGTGCCAAGAAGCCAAAGCTAAGACATCAAGAAGTTAAGGAGATGAACAGAGAGCAGAGTGGGAAGACAAAGCAAAGTATTATAATGAAATGTACAAAAAGCTGGAGTCAGAAAATCAAAAGGACAGAATTCACTTGGTATGTCTTAAGCTGAAGTAAATAAAGAACAAATTCAAGCATCAAGTTGCAATATCTAAGGATGCTTTAGGCAGAATATTAAATAATCCAGGATGCATTAAAAAGAAGATGGAAGGAATATACAGAGTTACTGTACCATGAAGAACTGGCTGACATGGGAGAGTTTGATGAAACAGTATATTATCAAGAGGCCGTGGTGATGTAGGAGGAAGTTCAAGTTACTCTAAAGGAATTGGCAAAAAAGCAAGGCCCCAGAAATTGACAGCATACCAACTGACATATTTCAACAGATTGCCCTGGATGCACTCACCAAGTTGTGCTAAGAAATCTGGAGGACAACCACCTAGCCAACTGACTGGAAGAGATCTATATTTGTTACCATGCAAAAAAAAAAAAGGTGACCCAAGAGAGTGTGGAAATTATCAAACAATATCATATGCAAGCAAGATCCTGCTGAAAATTATCCAAAAAACATCTGAAATATCAAATTAACAGCATACCGCCATATGTTCAGGCTGGTTTTAGAAGAGGTCGTAGCACTAGGATTGTTATAGCCAATGTCAGATGGATCTTGGCTGAAAGCAAAGAGTACCAAAGGAATGTCTATCTATATCTCATTGACTATGCAAAGGCATTTCCTGCGTGGTATCCATTGTGTGGATCACAACAAACTGTGGCTGACTCTGGGAATCCCAGAACACTTGATTGTGCTTATGTGAAACCTATACTTGGACCAGGGGGCAGTTGTCAGAACAGAGCAAGAAAACACTGCATGGTTCAAAATCAGGAAATGTGTACACTAAGGATGCATCTTATCTCCATACCTTTTCAATCTATATGTGGAACAGATCATCCAGGAGGCTGGACTCCGTGAAGAGGAATATGGTATCAGGATTGGAGGAAGACTCATCAACAACCTGCATTATGCAGATGATACAACCTTGCTTGCTAAACCTGAGGAGAACCTGAGGCATTTGCTGCAGAAGGTCAAAGACTGCAGCCATTAATACGGACTGAAATACAACATCAAGAAAACAAAGATTTTTTTACCACTGGGCTAATTAGCAGCATCGTGATCGAGGGTGAAGAGATTGAGATTGTTAACAGCTTCAGTTTGCTTGGCTCCACAATCAACACTCTCAGTACCTACCAGCAGCCAGGAAGTCAAAAGACAAATTGCATTGTAAAGTCTGCTGCCAGGGACCTCTCCAGAGTACTGAAAAGCAACGATGTCAGTGTGGAGACTAAGGTGTGCCTGATCCAATGCATGGTCTTCACAATTACTTGCTATGCATCAGAAAGCTGGACAATGACTAAGGATGATAGAAGAAGAATTGATGCCTTTGAGCTGTGGTGCTGGAGAAGAGTACTGAATATACCATAGACTACAAGGAGAACAAACAAGTTCATCCTGGAGAGGATGAAACCAGGCTGCTCCTTGGAGGCAAGGATTTTCTAGCTCTGTCTCACATACTTTGGGCATGTGGCCTGCAAGGATCAGTCCTTGGAGAGGGACATCATGCTTGTAAGGGTAGAGGGACAGCTCATGAGGAAGATTCTGTATGAGATTGATTCAGTGACTAGGGTAATGAGGGTAGGTGTGTCAGGGACAATGATGTTGGCTAAAGATAGAGGAAGGGTCTAACAAGTGATTCAATGGCACAAACAACATTTGACCTTTCCTCCAATTAACTGTTTTTACTGTTAACTGTTTCTAGGATTGGTTGTTATTCCTCTTCCCCTAGGGAAGATTATGTTTGAAGGTCTGGAGTGAATAGTTTGATACACTATTGTCCATCCTGTTTGCCTCTCTGTAAAACAGGTTGTGATTACAGAAACCTGCCTCATTGTCGTTGTTGTTGTTGTTATGTGCCGTCGAGTCGCCTGCGACTCATAGCGACCCTATGTACAACAGCCCTAAACTCCGCTCTGTCCTGAGCCAATTGCACTGTCTCTGACACTCCCATCCCAATTATCCCAGTCACTGAATCAATCCACCTCATAGAGGGCCTTCCTCTCCTGCGCTGTCCCTCCACCCTCCCAAGCATGATGTCCCTCTCCAAGGACCGGTCTCTCCTCGCTACATGTCCGAAGTAAGTTAGATGGAGCCTCAGAATCCTTGCCTCCAAGGAGCCACCCGGTTTAACCCTCTCCAGGACAAATCTATTTGTTTTCCTAGCAGTCCATGGTATTCTCAGTACTCTTCTCCAGCACCGCAGCTCAAAGGCATCAGTTCTCCTTCTATCCTCCTTGGTCATTGTCCAACTCTCTGATGCATAACAGGTGATTGCGAAGACCATGGCCTGTATCAGACGCACCTTAGTCTCCAGAGAGACACCACTGCTCTTCAGCACTTTGGAGAGGTCCCTAACAGCAGACTTTCCCATGGCAATGCGCCTTTTAATTTCCTGGCTGCTGGTGCCAAGACTGTTGACTATGGAGCCAAGCAAACTAAAGCTGTGTACAATCTCAATCTCTTCACCATCCATCCTGATGCTGCCGATTGGTCCAGTGGTGAGAATCTTTGTCTTCTTGACATTGAGCCTCAATCCATATTGAAGGCTGCAGTCCTTGACACTCTGCAGCAGGTGTTTCAGGTCCTCCTCAGTAAGGCTCCAGGAATAGATGGTATACCAATTGATATATTTCAGTTAACAGATGCTGCCCTGGACGTGCTCACCAAGTTGTGCCAAGAAATCTGGAGAACGACCACTTGGCCAACTGACTGGAAGAGATCGATATTTGTTCCTATCCCAAAGAAAGGCGACCCAACAGAATGTGGAAACTACAGAACAATTTCACTGATTTCACATGCAAGCAAGATTTTACTGAAAATTATCCAAAAACGACTGGAACAGCACATTAGCAGAGAACTACCAGAAGTCCAGGCTGGTTTCAGAAGGGGTCGTGGTACTAGAGATATTGTAGCTGATGTTAGATGGATCTTGGCTGAAAGCAGGGAATACCAGAGGAATGTCTATCTGTGCTTCATTGACTATGCAAAGGCATTTGACTGTGTAGATCATAACAAACTGTGGCTGACTCTGAGAAGAATAGGAATCCCTGAACACTTGATCGTTCTAATGCGAAACTTATACTTGGACCAGGAGGCAGTTGTCAGAACAGAGCAAGGGAACACTGCATGGTTCAAAATTGGGAAGGGCGTATGCCAGGGATGCATCCTATCTCCATACCTTTTCAACCTATATGCAGAACAGATTATCCGGGAGGCTGGGCTCTATGAGGAAAAATGTGGGGTCAGGATTGGTGGACGATTTATCAACAATCTGCGTTATGCGGATGACACAACCCTGCTTGCTGAAACTGAGGAGGACCTGCCTCATTAGATTGTAAATATAGAGTGGAACATGGATCTATAAGGAGCTTTTTCTTCTAGTAAATGTCTACGTTATCTAAGGTACATTCCCACACACTGGCAGCCTCTAAATTTCCAAACATATATTTCAGAGAGCCATACCAATTATCAACAGGTAGAATCCAATTTGTGGCTACTTAGGTGCTTCAGAGTAGATGCATACTCCGTAAGTTTTCAATGGATGATTTTCCCCCCAAAGTTAAGTACCAGCATGCCTTTGAAGGCACCTCTAGATACATTTAAACTTCCAACTTTTTAGTGACAAGATCACTGCACCCACCCCTGGCCATCCTCAAAGAGCCCCACACATCACTTTATCTAGTAGACAAATGGCACAGTCAGCAATTTTGGCCCTCTCTCCTTTGTTGTCTAAAAGTTTGTGACTTCAGTTCTCATATTCTCTCCAGTCCCAAATTCACATCTAAATGTTCCCCTGAAAGCATAATGCTCTCCAGTAAGAACTTCTACTTTATTTAGACTGAAATTCTTGGGATTTTAGAGTGGGAGTAGATGTTGCTACCACAACCCCTGTGGTGTTCACTAATGGTTCTGTAAAAGGATCCATTATTAGTTATTCAGAGAGCTCTGGTAGCCTAGTAGCAAGAAACTACATTGCCATCCATAAAGCATATGGTTCAAATCCCACCAGCTGCTTAGCAGAAGGATGGAAATCTCATGCAATTAATTGCCTCTGAAAACTTGTGAGAGAGTCAGCTATGGGTCAGTTTCAACTCAAAGGTACACAACAACATTAGTTATCCAGATGGCCCTGACAGGGCTTACTCCTCTTTGCTCTGAACCGAAGATTCCTCTGAGATCCACCACACAGTTTCTGTCTGTTATGGATCTTTTGGGTTATCAGTTTTCTACTTAGATTTCTCCACCGATTTGTCCCTTCTTCCATCTTTCAGAAATTCCCTAAAGGTTCTATTATGGAAACTTCTCTGATTTTTCAGTAAGATTTTGAGGGAGGACATGTTCATGCTTAATATGTCCTATTTGGCCAATCTGCCACAACAGTTTTTCTAAGATGTAAAAGTAAAGATCACAATTTGTGACCCAATTATAATTCCTAATTTGGTCCAAACATTGAACTGCTAGACTACAAGCAGAAGGTTGTCCGTTCAAACTTCCCAGAAGCACCTCGCAAGAAAGGCTTGGTGATGTGCTTCCCGAGGGTCACAGCCATGAAAAGCTTCTGAAACATAAAGTTTTCAAACTCTGGAAATTTAGTTGATGGCAATTGTTTTGTTTTGTTCTGTTTTTTAATCTACCACGTACTGAGTCGTGATGGAGAGGAAAAGGTAACCAGAGTTGGCATGTAGGGCAATATCTTAACCACACCCATAGCAGGTACGTTCTTCACTGCCTTCATTTGGTAAAGGTTTCTGTTTTCTCCCCTCCTAGAACTCCTGACCATTGGGATTTCCTCGGCACAGCATCACCAAAGAAGCTACCTCTTGAATACCTTAAAGTCCATCTTCTTTGCATCTTCTCAGTCTGAGCAGAAGCACATTGTTGTTCTGGTACATCTGGCAGATCCTGACCCCAAGTGGCTTAATCAAGTGATCTCCAACATCTCAGTCTTCTTTAAACCATATATTCAGACTAGACAGCTAGCAGTGATCAATACTCCTCTTCAAAGCTATCATCCTTTAAAGAGACATAAGAAAAAGTCTAGTGGCACCCTCAATTATGTAGCTTTTCATTCCATACAGAATATTGGTTATGCCTTTCTCATGAACTTTGCTACTAACTATTCTGACTATTTTCTGATGATTGAAGATGATGTAAAATGTGCTCCTGGATTCATCACCCAGATAGTTACTGTATTGTCCGCGTGGGAATACAAATCTTATTTTACTCTGGAGTTCTCTCAGTTGGGCTTTGTTGGAAAACTTTTTCGCACTATCGACCTTCCTCGCTTTGTCCATTTTCTTCTCCTCTTCTACCAACAAATGCCCTCTGACCACCTCTATTCTCATTTTCTTGACCTCATACAAAAAAGTCCAATCCAGTTCTCCCCCTCCCTCTTCCAACACATGGGCAATTACTCCTCCTTTGAGGGAGAACTAAAAAATTTTGAAGGCAAAGACCGTAAGGAAAATGGCACGGGCTTTCCCAACAACCCTGATGCTTCCCTCTTCACTGACCTGAAGGTTACCAACGACTCTGTTCTCAAGAATGCCTACAGCCTGGATGAGAATTTCTTTTACACCAAGGAGGCTAAGGCGGGTAACCATATCACTGTGATTTTGGACACACCTGCAAAAGTGATTCACGTTCAAGTGTTGACTGGCTCTTACCTAAAAGGGGAGAATTGGTTGAAAGAGGGGCAAGTAGAGCTGGGCTATGATGTCACCAATAGACAATATGACTGTGATGACTACGTCTTATTGGGATTCCTGGTAAAGGGCATCTTGAATAAGCAAGTATTATCTGAAGAGTCTGGGAAGAAAGTGAAATGTGTGAGACTACTTGTGACGGCCACGGCTCCGTCTGTGATTATAGTGAGGCATATCAACCTCTGGATTAAGTGATGTGTGAAGTAACAGTGGAGAAGTCATTGAGGGTTCTGGGAGAGACTAGAATGGAAGTTACATTACGTGAAGGTGTGACAGGCATTAAAGTTATGAAAATAGTCAGGGGCTTCTCGTTGTTGAGTCCTTTCAGGATTCTTGCTACAAAGAGATGTGTTGAAAGGTCAAAAGGGGTAATAGCCTCTTGGTCACAAAGAGTCTTGTGGTTGGAGGCTTCTTAAGCTTTTCCTTGCTTCTGTTTTCATAAGAGTGTACCATGTGAAATTTTTTCTTTAGGAATAAGGATATCAGATTTTTAGAAACAAAGGGAATACGTGAGTAAGGTTGACTAATATTCATGTGCTAGTACTTTAGCAGTATATAAAGAAGACAGAATGGGAAAATCTTGTGTGAAAAATAGTGTATTTGAACTTTGTAAACAAATAAGTATAAAAATTTTTTTTAAAAAAAAGAGAAGCTAAGCTAAGAAATTAATTTGATAAAGGCAAACTTCCTATGTGACAGGGGGGGAATAGGCTGCCCAGAAGTATGAGTATTTTCTCAATGATCTCATTTTTCTATTATAAGATACTCCTTTATCTCATGAACATTTGGGTGCCTTTTATGGTTAGGCAGATTCATCTTCCATAATGTCATCCAACAGTTTTTAACCAGCATCAAAAGAACTTTTTCTTATTTCTGGTGGCTCCTGTCTCTACAGCCTTATTTCTGAGGCTGTAAAGTTATATACATGTTTCTGGCAGGAAAAATGGTTATTTTACTCATATCTTTAGCTCCATTTGACTGGAAGATCTTCATTTTCAGAAAAGTGTAAGGCTTGAGCTCTGAGCTTAGCTAATATTCACTGTCTGGAGAGGAGATTTCACTAGCTGGAGAACTATACTCCAACAAACCAGGGCAAGAAGAAAAGGAAGTCTTTAAGAATAGGTGGGAATATGAGAGCAGAGGGGTGAGGATGGGCAAGGTGGAAATTATAGGACTGCATAATTTGTCAGTGGAGGGAGGGAGGGGAGTAAAGGAACCGGGAAAGACCCAACGGGGATCTGGAAAGACAGGGTAATGGGAATTACTGTATGAAACACAATGTGAATGAAGGATAGTGTGAAACACAATGTATGCGAACTTTGTATGCAAACCAATGTAAAGTAAAAACAAAGATAATTGTTTGGGAGAGCTCAAACCTATTTGAATCAAAATGGCTAAAAAGAGCTGAAGAATTTGAAAACAAATAGAGTAAAAGCATGGTGAGGGGAGAGGTGGTGAGAGATATAACTTTGGAAGTATCAGATACTGGGACAAGTGTAAATGGCCAGTTGTGAAAATGTTCTGTTCTGCTCTCCTGCTGTTACAGCATGATTGACTGACAGCCCACTGTTGCTCTTCAGGATCAACCACCATGATGATGGTGCTGAGACATTATTACCCGCTAACTGCTCCTAGTCAATGACTAAGTCCACTAGGGATACTAAACTCCAATATGTGACTTTAACCCAGTAACACTCCAGAGCCTAATTGGAACTTTCTTGAAGTTATGCTGCAGTATTAGACTCCTTTTTTCTTAGACTCTAATTTTCCTTCTTGCTCACTCTCTATATTTGACAGTCTTTCATTACAGTCTCCTCACCACCTCATGCTCTCTCCACTAATAAATCTCTTTAGTGTTTGATCCTGGGTTTTATGTCTGCTCTTTGACAGTAAACAAATGATGAAGGAACTGAGCATGAACTGAGAAAACAGAAAATGTCTTAGTTATCCAGTGCCACAAGTGAATGGTTATAACCAACAGAAATTTATTTTCTCACAATTTAGGAAGCTGGGTATCAGAATTCAGATTACTGGTACTAGAAGTAGATTTTCTCATTCAACTCTCAAGGAAGGTCCTTATCCCTTCTGCTTCTACTGCCTGGCTCCTTAAGATCTCTAGAAGTTCTGGCATCTATCTTACTCCATATCTCTCTGTGTTCAATCTTTTTTTATACCATAAGAGGTCAAAATACACCATATAGGATTCCTCTCATTAATATAACAAAGATAATCCATTCTCAGATGATATAATTATAGGCATAGAGTTGAGGAGTATCTCTGATTAGTAGTTCATAGGGAGTTTGCTGCAAACCCAAAGGTCACTCCTTTCTGGTGATTTGAATCCACCAACAGCTCTGAGGAAGTGTGGTGTCTGAAACCTTGAAAATTTGCTCTTCTATCCATTGTGTTGGCTGTTCGTTCATAGGGTTGCTATGAGTAGTCTATGACTCAACGGCATTAAACAACAACAATGACGACGACCAAGAGAGAGCTATGTTGGCCTAATGGAAAAGAAGCTGTGCTACCTAGGTGAAGGTGGGTGATTTTCATCTGTGGCCCTCGGTCAGGTTCAAATTGTCTTCCTGTCAAACATTCTTCTAGGTGGTATAGCACTGGTCTGTACGTTGCTGTACAGAGGTAACTCGTGGTTGCTGTGATGCTGAAGACTGTGACATCGATGTGCCAATTGTGGTAATGGGCACCCATGGTGGACAGTGTTGGCTGGAGCTTCCCGACTAAATCAAGCCTGGAAGCAGGAGTGGCATCCACTTCCAAAATGGCTTTCCTCCGGAAACTCTATGTACGGACTGTGCTCAGGCTGTTCATTCATAGGGTCGCTATGAGTCGTTTACGACTTGACGGCATTAAACAACAACAAACATCCATTGTGTTATCCCCTCCCCATTAAAGATATGGTCTCCAACTACCTTAATATGGTCTCTCAAATCGTCAGTATCTGTGGGACCAATTTAAGAGAGCACCTTCCACACTGTGAGAGACAGTAATGGAGAGAGGGTAAAGAGACTGTGGAAAATAGTGAAGACACTCTGGCACTGCTGTGAAGAGACTGTGGCAAGCTGTAACCAAAGGAACACTGGAGATGGAGCCACAGTTAAAGGTTTTCCTTGTGGAATGATTGAAGGAAAAGCTGGCTTGCAACTACTCTGAGATAAAGTTTGCTGGATGACAGAGGAAACCAGAGGTTTATTTGTGCTGCTGAACTGAACCTAGACTTTCACTTGGCAACTGAGAAGCTGTCTGAACTAACTGAGGAATTCTATCTTGCTGTTACTCTGGCTTGGGACTGCTAGACTAAACCTGGACTTGCATTGTGTGATATTATTTGCCTCTCCCACTCCCCAACCTATTTCCTTAATAAACCCTGTAACTGTGAGTAAGGTCTGTGTGCCAATTTGACCCAATGATTATTAGAAATAAGTGCAAGAGCAAGAGGTGTGTCATGTCTGACCATGTAGCTTTTTGTTTGGTACTATGGTATTACTGATGGGGAAAGTTCACCTTTATGAAGCAGGTAAAGACTCAGACTCAGCCATCAACTCAGACTCAACCATTCTCAAGTTACCGCTGTTCCTTTCACAGGGAAAAAGATGAACAATCTTCCATTCAGCCTCAGGAAACTTTAAAAAAGGGTCTTCTCTAAATCTGTTTCAACTCCATGACAGAGAAGTTTAACAGAGGCTAGGATTTACAGCACATATTTTAGGAGGACATACCAGTTGGTGGAATGAGTACTTGGCACTGGCTTATGACTCTCAGAAGTTGTCTGAGTGGTTAATATAATATGATATTCCTCTAGGCAAAAGACACAAGCAGGCAGGCTGTTAAACATCTATAAGCAAGAGAAAGGAAGAGTGGAAGAACAGGAGACTTAGGAAAGTCACCCTAGTAAAAAGGCACAGTTCTTTACTTCATTCTGGGCCTGAGACAACTTTAAGCGCCAGACCAATTGACTGAAGAGGTGGCAGTTCCCTAAGAGAAAGGACTCTGCTCACAGAAACAAATGGACATTGCAAGGGTTCCCCTGGTCTTTCTCCAAGCAGACTTACAGCTATTTACCTCATGACTGTACAAATGGAGAAAAGGGAATATTATTGTCACAAGGTCTAAATAGATATTGTTGCTCAGAGATTCAAAACGTGATTATGGTCACTTGTTAGTTTGGGACCTAATTGAACTAGTTTATAAATGGAGTCCATATTTTCTCTTAGAAGAACCAGCACAAAATTGGTTTCCATGAGGCAGGGATTAAAGCTTTTCCACTCCATCATCTCCAAAATTAACTACTCTTCCTCTTCCCCTCAGTTCTGTCTCTTTCTCATTCTCTCTTTCTCATCTTTGAGTTCTGGAATTTGCTGTAACATCTCACAGAACTCACAAGTCATCAAGGAAATGGAGGTTGGCAAGTCCCAAATCTGTGGGTCGGGGCTCAGTCTAGAAACTTCCTCTGACTTATATAGTTATAAGAGCTAAAGAACCCAGATCAGTAGGCTGGGCACAGGCTTCTGGCCCACAAAGTTGCAGAAACTTAAGAGTCTGGTCAGAAAATAGGTTGCTGGTTCAAGTCCCAAGAGTTAAAGATCAGATGCAGAGTCCAGAGCAAGAGAGAGAACTTTGCCAGAGCACTTATATATGTTGATTACAAGACATACAGTCAAAGGAAACTCCTCTTTCTTGAGCAAAGTGGTACAAAGAAGTGTAGAGTGGTGACTGGGTAAGTGTAATGACCACAGTCACACCCTCTAATAATGTAGTGACTCAAAATACATCTCACCTTCATCCTGCCTCATTAACATATTGGACAACTTACTCACACATAGGACCATAAACACAGGCATAGATGCACATCACAAAACGAGGGAGGCATCAAACTCACTGCCTTCAAGGCAATTTCAACTCAGACCTACCCTCCATTGGTTTCTGAGGCTGTAAATTGCAGCCAGAAGAGACTGCCTCTCTTTCTCTTTTGGATATAACTACTAAGCCCTTGATGAATATGGTCCTGTTTAAGTTGACACATAACTAAGTGAAGTGAAATGAAAACATAGCCACCAGGACTTCCCTCAAAAACCAAAACCCCACTCCTATCAAGTTGTTTCTGACCCATAAGAAGCCCCGGTAGCACCATGATTAAAGTGCTTAGCTGCTAACCAAAAGGTTGGTGGTTTGTATTCACC